TGGGAAGTGGCGGAAGAAGTCGGGAGGGGAGAGAGAGAAAGAGAAAGAGAGAGAGAGAGAGAGAGAGAGAGAGAGAGAGAGAGAGAGCAAATCAAATGAATCTACCGCTAGAACATGGAAATATACATTGCGCACATGCGCGCAGCACACCAGAGCAGCGCGCACTGCGCACCCAGATGCGCGCCGGTGCGCGCGCACCCTGGGTCCGTGCACAGCGCACAGTGCCGGTGCACCGCAAGTATGGAAATTAGCAATGAGAACAGCAATGAACCAAGTTGCGACATCTCACAGAAGACCAGACATCATTGAATTGAAATTGAAAGCAGAAATCAAAGCAAGTATCACACCAAATAGGAACGAATAAAGCACTGAAGTCTCTTGATAATGAAAGCCCTTCCGATGCCTCCAATCACCAATGCAAGAACAATGTAGCTCTCCTATGGGCGGCTATACCGCTGACTCTACCTCCTACGACTCCTATCAGACTAGCCGACTCCTGCCCGCAACCGGTCCACGTGTCATCATCCCAATGTCGCCTGAAGACTCTGATCGAACAGCCGGACTCCGTCAACACCAGGGTACCTGCTCCGTCATACTACCTCTTCTCCTTTTCACCCACGCCCGTCCTCCACCAAGGACCTCCGCCAGTTCACCACTCAGCTATGGAGCGAGCTGCCTGGCTATGGCTGCCCCTCTCCGTTTTCTTTCTCCTTGCTGCCACCAAGCATCTTCCTCCGCAGGCATTGCATCAAGCAGCCACTCATGCAGCTCTGCCGCATGCCTGAATGCCTGAATGTGTGGAATGCTACACCCTCAAGCCTTTTGTGCTGGCTGGACAGGCCGAGCAGCCTCTGGCCAGGCTGCGCCCAGTCCCAGTTGCCTGCACCTTGGGCACTTCTAGAATCTGCACGAGGCCCGGCATCTTCAATTTAGCTCGTGGGCTGGGCATACCGGCTGGTTGAAGGTGCTGCGCTCGTGCAAAAACTACCTTCGGGGACCGTTCTCCTCACATTGGCCTGTCCTCAGGCCCGGCCTCATTTTTGCAGGCGCAACAATACTCAGGGCGGGCGGGAGGCTCATTTCCTGGCTGACCGGCGTGCTGAATCCTTGCACTTTTAACCCCTTCAAAGTTCAAAGTTTATTCCCCCAGACCGACTAAGGTGAGACTAAGGCAAAGATGCCAAATTCAAAGATAAGGCCAGGATTGAGCAGATCTGCGTCAGTGCGAAATGCCCCACCATGAGTTTTTGAAACATAGAAGAAACTACCTCATTTCTGGTTTGCCTGGGTGACCATGGTAGTGCAGGGCAATATATGTTTGGGATTTAATGGCATGCATCTGGATCCCACCACGAGTTTTTTGTAATATCAAAGAACTACCTCATTTCTGGTTTGCCCAAGTGACCGTGGTAACGTAGGGCAACATATATTTGGGATTTAATGACGTGAATCTGGATGTTTGGCATTGACACAACAGACATCAGACTATCCATGTGAGTGGCCGTGTGTCCAGGTTCAGCTTGTAATGAAGATGGTATATCATCTGCACCCGTTCAACATTCTTCACTTTAGAAAATACGATCTAATATCTACAGCATGATCTGTTATCTGCATACTGGTTGTCTATTGACTTATGGATTGCTGTGCTCACAGACGCAAGCTGACAGGGCTTGAGTGCATGGTTTCTGTTTACTGTGATGACGTTTTGAACTTTCCACTTGACAAAACTTGAGCGCATATATTTTTAAATTGGTCATCCCTTCCCTTTTCCAGCCTGTTTGCTTACACAGAGTGGCCCGTGATCACGTTTTGAAGTGTGAAGAACTTGAATGTGGAATCTCTCAGGGTTTTGAGTGGCATCCACTGTGTCGCTTCTTGCATGTTGTATTCAGGTAATGCGATTGCGATAAAATTTGACACTATCTTGAAGCTTGGTGAACTGAAGGTTACACCTCCACCAATTCATAGCCCCAAAGCAAAACCAGCACCATTTCTAGGCAAGCGGGGGGGTGGCAATCCTCCGCCCACACAAGCGAAACCTCCGCCCAAGAAAGAGGAAGTGGACGAGTTTGGGCTCCCAATCCCAACTGGGCCAATGAGGAGGGCACGCACTCTCCTCGACTATGTCGCAGCAATCTTGATTGACGCTCACCTTCTGGACGATGATAAGTGCTTAACAAGGGAATTGGCAAAAGTTGGACCAGCATCGAAGTACTTGCAGGTAATGCCTTTGTAGTAAGTTTGTACCGATCAGGATGTTCTCTTTGACCTCACAGCCTGTGGATAAGAGATTTGGTACCTTGTCACCGGTATTGAGTTTTTTGTTTCTTTCGTCTTGTGCTACAACTTGGCAGCAAGGTGAATGAGATAAATCCTTCGCAAACACGTCGATCACTATATGTGTAGGCACGCCTTCACCAACAACTCTGCAACAATGGTAAATATACCCATCAACAAACACACTGACCATTGACTTGGATTTGCAGAGAATTCTTCATGGTGAAGCGTAAGACATGTACACATGTGATGACCCGACCAAACACGGACTGAGACACACAGTTGATTTCAGAGTTTTGCTCATGGACTGAATGCCTTGCTGAGTTTCCCGCTTGCTACTAAGTTCAGCATGTCTGTGTGTGTGTGCACGCTCGCTGGTCTGCATGTCTGTCTGAGTGCTGGTTGGCTTGAGTGTGTGTGTGACCCGCAAGGGCACCTGTTCGTTCAATGGGCCCTCAGGGCCGGTACTTACCTGTGTCCATGACATTGAGGATTGCAGTGTGGGGAAAACACTCAAGTAGCAGGTAGGCCGGTACAGCACCCTGAAGAGGTAGATGTGCGGGTACTGGAGGCCGAGCAGAAGAAGACAAAAGTGGCGGGTGCCAGTCCAACTAGTCTGAGTCTAAGGCCTGTACGGGCAATATCAGAGTCTGCAATGATGCTTCCCTCCGAAAGGGAGGAGGTACCGGTTGCTGGGAAGGCCGAGCGGCCTGGAAGTCACCGCCCAAGAGGCAAGCAGGCCGCTATATCTCCAGGACGGATGAAGAGCCCAGCCTCATTGTCGGTGTTGCAAGTTTGGCGACACACTGGTTGGAGCGCTGGCTGGAGCAGAGCTAGCAAGAGCAGCGCTGCTGGGGAAGGAGCAAGGACACGGCGGAGGAAGAAGAGCAGGTGGTAGGGGGAGCGCCAGAGGTACTTAGCTGGCTATGGTGGCAGCCATCTTCATTACCTCGGTGGGCGCTGCAGCAGGAAGACCCCAGCTGGGGTAGAGCTACACCAAGAAGCTTTGAGGCAGAGTCAGGCATGGCGGCCTGAGCTAGAGCAGCCATAGCGGCTTTGGGTTGTCCTTTGGGCATCAGGGCAAGACCCAGTAGTCCACCATAGCCTCGGCCTATGAGAGTGAAGAGTGAGGGAGGCGGCCATGGCTATGGTGGACCTCAAGTGATACCTGCAGTAGAAGAGGGATTCGGACATCGATTCTGGTTTAGCCATTCAACATTGTACTATTATTTCTTGTGTGAATAAGAGAGGAGTAAAGGAGGAGGACAGTGTTTGGCGAAGAAGAAGAGCTTTATCATTTGTCTATGCTGGTGCACATAATCTTCTTCTTTCTTTCTTCTTCTTCTTCTTACCCTCTCTCTCCTCTCAAGTTCACTCATTTCTTTCTGCAATTGGATGGCATTGTACTATCTCATGAATGTGTACTTCGAAATTGGCCAGGATCATAACATTGGTATCAGAGCAGATTCTACTTGCCGGTGAGAGTTGACTTAAGTGGTAAGGGCTACCACTTAGGGTTAGGGTTGGTCCGAAGTGGGAAGTGGGGCAGCGTGGCTTG